ATGGCAAGGTGCAGGTGGAGAAGGAGGAACCAGGGAGGTGGTCCTGCCAGGCCCCCAGCACATATTCAGGTTTTAATATGAAGGCAAGGATTCTGCCTCCCTTTCTTTCATTGCAGAAAGAAAAACTTCATTTTATATGAGTTATAAAAAATTGTGGTATGTCTAAACATATTACCAATTATCTAAAGATCTAATTGTAAGTTTTCTTTTTTGTTTCTATCAGTTTGTAGTAACATAAATAATTATGAGTTTCTTTGCTGTGTGCATTAGATTGTTTAATTTATAAAATGCTGATTGTTCTAAGCACCTCTACTTTTGTTTGGCTAGAGCATCTAAATTCTAGTTCTAAATTGAGGGGTTTGGGGCAGTCAATTTTAGGAGTTTTCCTAAAGTTGATAATACATTCCCGGTAAAGATTATACAAATAATACTGACAGAGAACTTATTTTATGCATTGTGTAAATGGAAAATAAGTTGAACTAATTAATGTGGCCATACTTTATCAGATTAAGTATTAATAAATTTCATAAACAACTATAGCATAGTCTTAAATTAGGAAAGTAAACTTGTGCTTTAAAGACTCCTATTTTAATATGGTTGTCAACTATGTACAAATTCTGTTTTTTGTTTTTTTTTTTCTTCTCTTCCTTTCAGATGCAGGATCAGGATCTGGAGATGGAGGTAGGAATTGGCTTTTTCTCTATCTGAAGACTTGGGTATTACTAGTGATACTCACCGGTATATTTCTCATCACAGATGTCTAAGACAAGTCACAGTTTATATTGTAGGAGTAGTAGAAGTGTCAAGAACCCTGTGCTTGATTAAGTACATATGCACATTGCTGGCTCCGGTCAGGAACCAGCCCATCATCCGTGTCTAGTTCACCTTCCTCATCGGCTTGTTTGTATGTGGTACCTTTGAGACACATGTGTCAAATATCAAGACATCCTAACAGAAGCTACCAGGTATCTCTAGCAGGACAGAAAGAATTCATGAGAAAATCATACAAATATTTGGTTTTCAAATGTATAGTATGGCCCTCAATTAATAGGTAATAACATGAGCTATTAAGTAGATGAAGTCTTACTATCAAATTTATAATTTAAACTAAAGGAGCTGTCGTTCTTAAGAGACACTAAAGAAGATAAAACTTAAGCCAATGAAATCAGATTATCTTTGCTTCCTTGATTGAATTAATATGTAGTTACTTCCTGAAATACCACGTTCTCTTTATTTAGTTTTATTTAAGGTAGTAGGTAAGAAAAAGACAGACCCTCTAAGTTTTATCTGATATACTTACACTCAAATAAAGATTTTATTTATAGATTAAGCTTTATTATAAACGTTCCAGTCCTTTTCCAAATGAAATCCAAACAATTTCACTTCTGTACACACAAAGCAAAACAAAAACAAAAGCTTAGATGTCATTTAAAGACTAAAAAAAAGATCCAATCAAAACAAAACATTCTCTCAAGGACTTCTTGCGTCATAGGAAATGATTAAGTTTAGGAGTCTACCTTAACTTTAGTTTCAAATAAAGACCTTGATGAAAGGTGATTGAAAGAAGAGTCTGGGTCCGGGAAGCACAGACCCTGGCTGCACATCCAGCCTGGTTTCCGCAGCCTGAATATGTCTAGCTGCCGCATGTAACTAACAACCTAAACTAATGGGAGAAAGCGTGGCTAGGCATCTTCCCGGCGCTCCCTGCTGGACCGAGGAGTTTTCCTGGAGGTAGAACTCAAGGATGGAAGGGTGCCCGCGTCACATGGCTCTGGCCACCACTCAGTGTGTGGCTAGCGCCACAGGACAGTGAGCTGGCCCCTCCCCTGGTCTGTTACCGCGATAGTCTCAAGAAGTTGTCCTTAGCGGTTTTAAAAAGACAAGTCCAGAGGGAAAAAGAAAAGGAGAAAGGCAGTTCCTTAAGTAGCGATTTATCATTGGAACATTAAGAAATCGATCAGCTTTTTCAGTATTCCTCTGTGAGGAGGTCGCTTCCATGCACAATTCTGCACTTTCCAGCCCTTTGGGTTTTTAGGCAGACCACCCCCTGGCAGGCACTGCAGTGAGGTTGGACTCTCCCGTGGTTTCTCCACAACTTACTCTCTTTTGTTGGCACCTTTAACGTGAAGCCAACAAGCTGCAGAAGAAGTTACAGCTTGATGCTTTCTTCTGTTTAGTTGCTGCCGTTTATATTTTCTGCGTGAGTCTCCTCTCACATTGTGCAGCATTTTTCTTCTTTTCTAAATACTTAGACATGGCTTCAGTTTAAGGTACTAGGTTCTGGTCCCCACCCACTGTGCCTAGCACATCAAGTGACAGTGAAGTTGAATGTTTGCTTCCTTGTTGTATTCTTCATTGAAATTTTTGGTTCCTTTTGCTAATCTGTGATCTCAATAAGGCTGATTTTGTTTAGGAAACAATTTGAATCTCATGAATATAACATTTATAACTTCGTAACATATGGGTGAAACATTAGTTAGAAACCACTTTCCCTGTTTTTCTTTTTCTTTTATTTTTTCTAACTTTTCTTTCAATTATGGGTGATTTATAGTACCTTAAAGTAAAACAAAACAAAGAAAGCATCTTCTGAAGAGGTATTTATTTAGAAAACAGTAGAGCCTGCAAGCCATTTAATTCTGAATTTTAAATAATTGGTGCCCTTAAAAAATTAGTAATGTATTTATTCTTAGTTGTAGAAACTATTTAAGATTAGGGACAAAACAGTGGGTTTTGTTTCTTTTTTTTTTCTTTCTTTCTTTCTTTTTTTTTTTTTTTTTTTTTTTTTTTTGGCGGAACCGGACATTGAACTCAGGCCCTTGTTCTTGCCAGGCAAGCACTTATTCTACTGAGCCATCTCCCCCAGAGCGATACACGTAGGTTCACTTCACTTTTCCTTGAATTCTACCTAAATATAGATTCGAGTTGCTCTTTCTACCAAGAAGACAGGTGAATACCTATATTTTTATAAAATTCTTATAACCAAGGTTTTCAGAAGGGCAAGAATAGGTTGCCTTTGAAGTCAGAAGTGAACACATAACCTGTGACCATCTTGCTGGACCAGTACGTGCAGCTCATGAGCACTCTAACCAGTGTCCATAGGATCTATTCTCAACAACCGGTTGAGTTAGTATTTGTGTCAAACTTGCAAGCACTTTGTGAAGTTAATAATTACCACTCTAATTTCCTATTTTAACATAAAGTTAAAATTATTCCCAAGCCGAGTGTGTTGATCTGAATAGTGAACAAATGTACTTGCAAAATATGTCTCGTGCATGATGGCCAGAGATTATATCACTGAACCACCAAATCTAATCATTAAAAAGCACATCATTGACTTTTTAGCTTGGCCTGTAATTTTTCCATCTTTTCATTTTATTTTAACATAATGCATATAGATATTGATGAAGAAAACATAACTCTCTTCTATTAAAAAATTGGCCATTTTAAATGAATGACTGTCGTATTATATGAATGACTAGACCTAGTTATTTTTTAAATAATTTAAGCTTACCCCATTTTCACAAGGGTATATCTGTCATTTAGTGCTTTTGAGGGAACATTTTTACTACAAATAAAGGGAATATAGGTTTCATAAAATTTATTAACTCATTTGGGCACATTTTATAGAGAGTTTAAAAATCTTTAACTATTGATCTGCTCATTCGGATGAAACTTTTCAAATGGTCCTCTTTGTTAGTAAGCCATGGT